TGTGCTGATCTGGTAGCCCTGACCTAGGATTGGGCCCTCTTGCCCAGGGATGTCCCCAGGCGAGTCCATTTCGTTGTGGAGGAGCAGAGGCTGAGAGAGGTTCTGACAGTTCAAGACCACACAGCCATTCAGGAGAGGTCTCGGGTCTGGTGGGAGGCAGGTGTCAGACTGTTCTTAAGCCCCAACCCCATCCCGTGGGTGTGGGAACCCTGCTAAGCTGCAAGTCCCCTCTTGGTGACCACTGTCACGAGGACTCTCAGGTCATGCAGGCTTGAAGGGTTGTGAGGAAGGGAGGTGAGCGGCACATTCTGTACAGCTGAGCTGGAGGGCAGGGACGGACTCGACAGGTAAAGCAGCCTCGTGAGACGTGGGGCTTTCCACGCCTCACACTACTGTTATATTCCCAACCCTGAATCTAGTCTTTAGACAGTTCAAATATATACCAGACAGAGTCACGGCCACTGTGGACGCTGTCAGCATGGTGCCATGTGTCCCTTTGGGCTTCTGTTGACCGGGAGTGGAGTTTCCTCTCTTGCCCATTCTTGCGAGTTCTCTATATCATAACAACTTGGAAATGATGTGAAGAACATGTCTCCTTCTTTAGTAAGAGCTTTTGACTCAGGTCTCTTAACAAACAGCAGAGAGTTGAGTGACTCTGTCTCCTGGTAATCAGTAAGGGCCACAGGAATGGTGTTGCGCATCAATGGTGGTGGGAGTGCTGGTGGACGGGGGCGGGCTCATGGTGGTGGTGACAGGTGGTGGTGATGGAGGTGGTGGTGGTTATGGAGGAGATGGTAGTGATGGTGGTAGTAGTGGTGATTATTGGTGGTGATGATGGTGGGGATAGCCATGAGGTGGTGGCAATTGTAGCACTGATGGTCTGGTGGCTTCCATGGACTTAGGAAGAGGTGTATGAGCTCATCCCTCTTTCCCTGGACAGGTGCCAGTGGAGATTCCTCCACCCCTGATTCTGAGCCATAAACCTGGACCATATATGCAAGTGACCACTTTTCCACTGTGAAAACACAACTCTAGGGCGGATTTTTATGTACAATCCTGAAAATATGAGAGTTTACTGAAAAGTAACCAAATTTCAGTTGGTGGGTTAGTGGCTTCCCTAGGACCTTGGGTGGTTGGTGTTTGTGGAGGGACACTGGACTCCGGTGAAGGGACATTGGACTCAGGTGGAGTGTCAAGGCAAGGAAGGTTCTGGAATGATGCAGAGTTGGGCTCTTCCTGGAAGCTGCCCCCTCAGGGCATGTGGTTTCTGATATGCCCATGCGCTGCGGCCCTAGCATTGTCTGCAGGGCGTGTTGACAGCATGCATGCACACCCACACGTCCCTGCACACAGGCTGCTTATCCTACCACGTGCCTAGGACCTAGGGCGAGCACTGGAAATCCCCCTACTTTTGCAATTTGTGATCACTCACAATTTAATTATTTTGCATGGTAAATTTTTGCTGGGGGAGAACAGATGCTTCAAATCTCATCTTCTGTTGAAATATTGTCAGAGCAAATCAATGAGTATATACCAAGGACAGGGCCGTCAGCGAAGTGCTGAGTGGGCAAGCATCACCGTCAAATTAGTGCTCATCTGCCCGCGTTCCCATCCCTCCCGAGGCTTGCTTCCCTTTGATGCCACGTCAGAGCAATTTCCCAGCCTTCCCTCCACACCTCGCACGCGTAGAAGATGAGCTTCCAGAAATCCTCTTTGGTGTCCCCTGAAAGGAGGAGTGACCCACAGAAGCCAGGCTTACTCTAAGCAGCTTAGCATCAGGAATCTGAGGAAACCAAATCTCCACTTTTATGCAGAAATCAAAGACTAGCATAAGGAACCAGCAAGTTAATAACTTTCTAAATAAAAGCAGCTCAAGATTGCGCAGCTGATTCAGTGAGAGAGAAATTGAGATGAAATCACTCCCCATCACATGGCTGATGGTGGACACTCCTGTTTCCTCTCAGGTTTGTTTCTCATTGAACATCCCTGTAGTCATCAAGTGCAGATGATGTGCTGCCTGTTGTTTTGCACCCTGTTTCCATCTTGAAATATTAAAATACCCCCTGCTGCCTCCTACCAGGAGTGGGCATCTGAGGGCTACTGACTACCCCTATGTGTGCTCTGTGGCTGCTGGGCACCTCCTGTTAGAGAGGGGCAGCATTGTGGAGGACGAGCTGCTGTGTAGTCCGCATTGGCCTGAGACATTGGCTGAGTGGCCACACGAAACCTGGGTGACGTCCACCCATGGGAAGAACAGGGGTGAGGATGGGACTTTGGTGTCAGACAGACTTGTCTTTGCTTCTGAATCCACACGGTTGTGTTTCGCACCTAGAAGAATTTCCTCAGCTTTCTGCAAGCCCCAGTTTTTCATTTGCAAAGTGGAAATCACAGTCTCCCTTGTGGGGCCTCCTTGCAGGTGAAATGGATGACGTGCGGCTCTGTGCCAGGCACCCACAGAGCTCCCAGGTGGTGGTGGCATCCTTGTTTACAGAAACAGAGATGCTGGTTCACTTGTTCACCCAGCACGCCCTCAGTGCCTATCCTGTGGCTGGCACTAGGCCCGCTCTTGGCAAGACAGGTGGATAAGGCTCAGCACCCACCAGGTGGGTCTCATCACTTCCAGGGCCCAGGCAAGTGAATAGGCAGACAAGACGCCTGTATCACAGGCGCATGATAGGGCAGGTGAGCTTTGGGGTGCTCCTGTGAAGCGGAATAGAAAAACTCAGAGGTTGGCGCCAGAAAAGACCGGCTCCAACCTGCCTCCGCTGCAGGTGGGCCTCAAGGCCTGGGCAGGTCACTTAAGCTCTCGGCGTTTCCCTCTCCACATGGGTGACTCACTCTGTGTGTCATCGAGAAGCTTGGGGATCATGCACGTAAACCTGGGCACGTGGCAGACACTAGCAGTGGTCATCGTGCCTGGAGGCTGCAGTGAACCTGAAATGAACCCAGAGCAGACAGGCTCAGCGGGTGCTTGGGACGGTGGGGTCGCATCTCATCACAGCGTGACTCTCAGCAAACTGGTCCTCTACATAGCGAGTGTGGCTATGTGAGTTGAAGAGCAGCTCTCAAGGAAGTGCGTTTCCTGGCCATTCCGTAAACACTGGAGAATGGTGGCTTGAGAAGACGTCAGCCCTGGAGGCCCTCAGAACGTAGAGTGACTGTCCTGCCTCTCAGATAGTTCACGCCGCGTGTTCCGTGACCCCACAGAGCAGCGGGGACCAACCTGCTCGGCAGGCCGCCAGTGCATGTGAAGGCTTCTTCCTTCATAGATGTAGGAGGCTGCTCCCTGTCATTCGTCTCCACCCTGCAGCTCAAGGACAGGCACTCACGTGGTGTGCTGAGGAGCAGCGGGCGGGTGGCCTCCACTGAACCTCAGTGTGCCCTCTCACAGGTGTTCCAGCACAGCAACCAGGGATCCTACGACCATGAGTTGGGTCATGGACTCTCCCACTCAAAACCCTTCGATGGCTCCTATCTTCTTGGGGTCAACACCAAAGTCCTTACAAGTCCGTGTGGCTCTGATGACCAAGCCCATCCCACACCCTCTCTCCTTGTCTCCTTGGTTTCCCACTAGAATGTCCCTTAGACTTGGAGTGCGTGGCACCTCAGGGCCTTAGCGCTGGCCAGGAACTCCCTCTGCTTGGAACAGGGGAATAACTTGGGAAACCCAGCGGGTAGCACACCCTTAGCGCCATCCAGATGTGAAGCTGGCCCCAGTAGCTGATGGCTGGTGGACTGCAGGATTAAGAGGCACTTTGGGAGCCGTGAGGCTGTGACGTTGCTGGTGACCATCCTGATGGGGCTCTGGCCAGTGTCCTTAGAATGATTCTTTTTTTTTTTCTTTTTCTTTTTGGTGGTACCAGGGACAAACCCAGGTGCTGTACCACAGACCTACATCCCCAGACTTTAAAATTTTTATTTTGAGACAGGGCCTCGCTAAGTTGCTGAGGCTGGCCTGGAACCTGCCACCCTCTTGCCTCAGCTTCCCGAGTGGCCTCGATTACAGGTGTGGCCACCACACCCCTGAGAATGACCTTTGCTAAATTCCCCGAGGCAGCTTCTGGCCATTGCTTCCAGTGCTCTTGGCAGTTTGTGGGAAGGGTTGTCAGTGGTCAGCACCGAGTCGGGGCACCTGCCTGGACACCTGCTCACTGCCTTTGCTTCATCCAGGGTGTGCCCTGGGAGAGAGCCGGCGTGGGAAAAGAGTCAAGTCCAGAGGTGCCCTGTGGCTAGTGTTTACTGCCTGTGACTGAGGAAAGGCATTGTTCAAAGTGACAAGCTTGTTGAAACTTTTAATTTAGGACAAGATCCATGGGAGTGGCCGTGTTGGCAAATGGCCTTTGGGCTCTGGGGCTGTGCAGGCATTCAGGGGGGGCAGAGTGTGCTCGGGCTAGAGGTGGCTCCCTGGGACCTTGTCCCCCATCCAAGACCTCCGGGGGAGAGGTTTGTGGCCAGGGTGTACCTGCCTGGCAAGGGCCACCAGGACAGAAGCCTGAGGAATGGTGTCCTGAGACCTCTGCCACAGAGCTTCCCGGGAAGCTTTCTAGTTCTTTAGGAATCTGCTCACGAGGCGAGTCCCTGTGGGAGGGGAGCCCGGCTTCTGCAGTGACTCCATATTCATCCCTTGTTTGGGGGCAGGGGACCCATCACAGGACCCCCACTTTATGGCAGATGTGGCTGTGCGGCCAGCGTGGGGAGGTGAACTCTGCCTCCGTTGCCTCGGGAGGTGTCACGGGCTCTACCTGGATGTGCGTGTTGGAGGAAACAGTCTTAAAATCAAATCTCGGGCACTGGCTTGTTTCCCAGTTGATGTGAGGTGGCGGCCCCACTGCAGCTGGAGTGTCGATTCTCAGAAGCTCCCCTGGGGGGTCGTGGCCTGGAAACCAGCCCCTTCCCCTGATTCACTCTGGCAAGGGAGGGCTGGGGCTGTGGGGAGAGGTCCTGGCTTATCCGCCTTGAGTCTCATGGTCTTTCTTCTCTCTTCTGCTTTGGGGTCCCAGCTGAGGTGCTGAAACAGAGGTTAGAAGACCTGGAGCGAGAGTCAGGCGGGCTGCAGCTGGGGCTCCCCTCGAGGCAGCCGGCTCTGCACAGCTTCCTGGGCCACCTGGCGGTGCAGGCCCAGGCCATCCTGCAGGTTGCTGCTCAGCAGTGAGTACTTGGTGGTCACCACCACACCCCCTCATCTTCTCTTGGGCTGGGAGGGGCTTGGCCGTGGAGACCTCCCAGCTGCTTTTTTCTGGGAGGTGTCCCTTGTTGGGGCAGGTGGGTCTTTCCAGAGGGAGGTGTCCTGGGGGTCATGCTGCTGGAGAAAGAAGCCCTTTCTGCTGTTTGATTGACAGGAGAGAGCCTCAACTAGGGCCTGGGGCAGCGAGGTGCTGGCTTGCACTGGGAGCCAAGGGTCCAAGAAGGTGGTGGTGGGGGGGCTGTCCAGGCAGCCGGGTCTCCTGAGCATCCTGTGAGATCCATGGGTGGCCCCACAGTCCTGAGCTTATCTCTGGCTCCTGAGCAGATTTGCTGCTGACCCCCAGGCTCCCTGGTATTGGCACTATAGTTGTCATCTGAGTTTGCGGACTGGTGTTTCCAACATCCTGGGGCTCCCACCCACAGACATTCAGGTCCCTCATCAGATGGTGCAGTGTTTGCACGAGCCTGTGCACAACTCCCAGGGTCCTAGACCACCTCTAGGGACTTTCCACACCTAACACAATGGGAACACCCTGTGTGGTCCACCACACTGTTAAGGGAATATCGACAGGCAACCCAGCCTGTGATGTTCAGCACCCATGCAACTCTTCAGGGACTGTTCTGGATCCATAGTTGGTTGAGCTGCAGATGTGGGACCTGCTGAGGAGGAGGGACATGGAGGGCACTGACCTTCAACCCAGTGGGCCTCAACCTGGCTGCATGCTGGAACCGCCAAAGGGTTTTAAAGCTATTGCTGTCCAGGCTCTGCCACAGATGAGCTAAGCCAGACTTCTGGGGGTGGGTCCCCGCTACTGGCATATTTAAAAGGTGGGAGGGCCACTGTCTGCCTAACCCTTCCGTGGTGAGGCCTGAGCGGGGCAGGTGTCTCGTCAATGGCACGGACCAACTTGGGGTCTGCTCCTACTTGGACATATGCGTGGACCCAGCAATCCTGCTCTGTTTCCTCTTATAGCTGCCCTCACGAGCACAAGGCTGGCCTATCCCTGCTGAGCACAGGGCACTGGCTGTGCGGTTCTTCTTGGTGCCTCCTTGAAGCCTGGCTGGACTGCAAGGCCCTCCTTCCCCGGGGTTGGCATCCCGGAGTGGCGTGCACGGTGGGGCACTGTAGGTCCTGTCCTGTCCGTGGGGGCCCCGAGGAATTGTGAGGTGGCCTCTTAGGGGCAAGCTCTACTCCAGTCCCATTCTCTGCAGGCTTGCTCCCCCCGGTCCTCCGCCTGGTCACGGGGACTCTTCCAGCCTGACCTTCTCCATAGTTCTTCCTTTATCCTGGACTATTTCTCATTCCCACCCAAGTCTGCACAGCCTGTGTATCGTCTCTGTTTAACAAACACGTGCGTAACAGTTACTGAGTGCTCTCGGTAACTAGTTTAATTTCTGTTGTAATAAAATGTGCACAACATACAACCCACCTGTAGTCACCGTCTGGTGCACAGAGCAGTGGTGCCAAGGACACTCCTGTCACCACTCTTCATCTCCAGGACGTTTTGTCTCACAGAACTGAAACTCTGCCTCCTCTAACAGCACCCCCACTCCCTGCCTGCAGACGTCACTGTTCCTTCTGTGCCTCTGAGACTCTGGGTGCCTCCTGGAGGTGCGGTCACAGTGTGTGTCCTTAGAGACTGGCATCTGTCCCTTGGCATGACGTCCCTGAGGTCCACCATGTTGCAGCAGGTGTCAGACGTCCTTCCTTCTGAAGGCTGATGGAGTTTCATTGTGTGGATGGCCTTCGGTTGGTGTGTCCCTTCGCCTGTAGACAGGCAGGAGTTGTCACTTAGTTGTCATGGCGATTCTGGGGGCTAGGTACCTCTGTGTATTGATGGCCACAAGTACCGGAGGTCTCCCCTAACCACCCACGTCTGTGTCTGGATGGAAGGGTGAGGCGGCCAGGCCCAGGGCTTGGGCAGGCCCAGTAGTGGGTGATCGGCCCCCAGGCCACCTCTCCCGGGCATTTGGCAGAGGCTTGTCCCTTCAGCCTGTGTTTCAGTCAGTGTTTGGCTGCTGTGGCCAAAAGACCTGACAAGAACAGGTTTAAAGGAGGACAAGTTTATTAGTCACTCATGATTTCAGAAGTCTCAGTCCGTAGATGGCCGATTCCATGGCCCTGGGCCCAAGATGAGGCAGAACATCATGGTGGGTGGGCATGGCAGAGGACAGCAGCTGGGCATATGGCACCAGGAAGCTGAGACCGTTCTCTTAGTGGGGTCAAGAAATATACTCCAGGAGCCCCAGGGACGCACCTCTTCCAGCCACACCCACCTGCCTCACGCCACCCAGTGGTTCCTGTCAGGGACCACTGATTAGGCTGATCACTTTCCCTTTAAGCCTTCTTGCACTGTCTCTCACAGGTGTTCTGGGGACACCTCCCATCTGAGCCACAGCAGCCTGGCATGCAGGGTGGACAGAGTGTGAGGCTTTTGCTACAGTCTTGGCTTTGCTCCTCATAGAACGGGATCAACCAAAATAAAGCTGGTATCCTGCATTTATGACTGTATTAGGTCACAACGTGGGACATTGCACCATCTGGGTGGTCTCAGACACCTCCAGGTGTCGGGTGCCCTCAGTGTCACAGTTCTGCCCTCTGCTGGTCCCCAGTGCCTGCCCACGCCTCAATCTCCCTCGGGACACCTCCCTGGCCTTTTCTGAGTTTGTCTTTTCACCCACAAAAGTATCTGTCGCTTTATCCATGCCTTGTCCACGGGTGTTGCCCTCTCCCCATTCAGCCCTTCTCCTGAGTCCCCATCTCAGTGGCCTCTCCTGTGTGGTTCCCCAGGAGGACTGCAAGGCGGCCCTGGCTGACCCTTTCCTGGGCCCCAGCCCTGACCTCCAAGTCCAATGGCTCCTCTGGTCAGATCCTCTCATTCTAACCCTCATCAGAGAAAAAGGGGGCAGGTCAGATCGTGCTCCTGACTGTGGTCGTTTTTTATTCTCTTGCCTTTGCTTTTGCCACGGCCACCTGTTCTATAATTGCCATAGCTAGACGACAGTGCATTGAAGTCCTCTTATTTATTACCTCCTCCTAATGCATGTTAACATGATTGCATAGTTACCAATTAAAGAAGCCTGTCCTTCAGCAAGCCAGCTGCCCCTGCGGCCAGTGACCTGGCTGGACTCCGGGCCTCCTGGGAGGGAGGCGCCTGCAGTTCTCCCAGAAGCCACCAGGGGCGCGGACACAAAGTTCCCCTCAAGTCAGGAACTTTCCAAGGAATTGGGCTGTTCCTGTAGAAATAAACCAGTAGCATTAACTGGTTAAGTCTCAACACTAACACAAATAAACACCTCTCAGCCTCTCTGGGAGCAGGTGTACCTTTGAGACTCTGATGAGAACTGTGGACTTCCATCAGCAGCCACGTATGCTCATGCAGGCACATTATGGGGGGCTGCCTTTGGGGACCCTGTGTTCCTGGTGTGGCTCTGGTGTGGGTGTCCCTCTGTTTGACACTCACTCCCTGGGACTCTCCCCTCAGTGGGGACAAATGCAGATGCTTTGTAATTCTCCTACCTGCTGAAGCAGCTCCTCCTGTCTCTTAAGGATGCCTTGGGCAGAAGGCACAGATGTCCAGGTCATTTTTAGTCACTAATTTTCACGCAGTCTAGTTCAAAGTGTCCCCTGCCTGGGTTCTGATCCCGTCCCTCCGTCACCACAGCCTCCTTGGTCAACAGGCTCTGTGCCTTCCGTATGCAGGGGTCCATGTGCTGGCTCTCCTGCAGGCCCAGGTGGTTCCCCAGAGGCCCTCCTAACAGGGAGTGGCAACCGTGCCTGGCTCAGGTGGCATTCACTGAGTGAGGCAGGCCACGTGCACCTTCCTGGGTATGAGTCAGGTGGCTGCCATGCCCACGGGACAATCATTACACACGTGCCAGGCAGTGTTTCTGAATCCTGAACTGGAGCTGAAGGGGGGGGTGACCCAGAAGGGACACTGGCATGTGGTGTCCCACTCCTGGAGTCCCCCTCCAGAGCCTGTCATGGCTTTGGGAAGAGCCAGGAGAAGGGAGAAGGGGAGGAGTAAGTCGACTGGGCCACAGGGGCTCCCGGGGCTTGCTCTGGAATTAGTGGGTCATAAACTACAACTCCCAGACAAAGCTCTCCCAGGTCCCCCCTTGGTTCAGACCCAGCCGCAGCCTGTCCTGAGGCCACCATAACTGCCCAAGCCCAGGCACACATCCTGCTTCCCTCCTGGGGGTGTTTCCAGGAGTGGAACGAGGAAGGATGTGACTTCTATTGCCTTCTCCCTCTGGTGTTTAGACCAACCACGTCCGCAAGGAGGAACACTGATATTGCTTGGATCATCCAGGCAACTGTCCCACGTCCCGTTCTGCTCCGAGTGGCCCAGGTAACTTGAGACGTTGTTAGTTGGTTGAGGAAGCTCTTTTGAGATTTGCATCACTCTTCGGGGCTCTAGGACTGGCTGGACTTCTCCCTGAGGGACAGAGCCACACGCAGGTGGTGTGTCGTGGATTTGGTCCAGAGTGTCACCAGGTGGTGACTACGGTGCTCTTCAGAAGGGCTCACTTGGCTCTGCTAGACCCAGTGGCCTCCCTCCAACCATGGAGGGCAGCCAGCACTGACCTGGAGGTTTTGGTCCTTTTTGAGACTAGAATTGTCTGGGCCCAGCAGTGGCACAAAACAGCTGTTTCCCTGGCCCCACGAAGACTGACCCCACCAGAGGCTCTTCCTCTCACCCATGAGGCTGTGCAAGCCAGGTACCACCCTGGCAGTGGGGCAGGACCTCGTGGGCAGAGCTGGGCCCCTGCTCCAGCCCTCTGCATTCTCAATGGCAAAGGCTTCTGGAGGTGCCAGCCTGCAAGGTCAAGGGCATTGTAGGCCCTGAGCTTGGGCGCTATGCTGCCAAGGAGGTGGTGTGTGGCTCCTCTTGGGCCACACCCCCTGCAGCCTGCATGGGATCTGCAGCCTGCACGGCACTGGGGCTGCAGCCCCCTTTCAGTATCATGGGACAGCCACCCACAACGGCTGCATCCTGAATGTGACCAGGGAATGGGGAGTTGTCTCCTGTGCAGTTTACAGCCCCTCTTTTCTTTGGCAAAGGATCTTATTTTAACAATAGGTTTTGTTCTTCAAATTATTGCTGGCAGGGACAGTGGAGTAGGAAGACTCAGGTTTTTGTTGGTACTGGGCACGCCCAGATGGGGCCAGTGTGAAGCCCTGGGTTTGAGCATGGGTTCTCGGACACCGGGTCCCTGCTGGCACTGTGCACTGTGGGGTTTCAGTTCTCGCTGCTGCGGGTTTGCTCATTCCACATCCTGATCAGCTTGCAGCCACGATGCTAATTGGCACCAACATGGGGGATTACGGGTGGAGACTCGTGGAATGTGAAGGGAACATCCTCCGGGCAGAGGGAGCCTGGTGCTGAGGACAGAGGACGTGGAAGGTGCCTCATTATCGAGTTGCGCCGTGTCCTCTGAGGAGCCCTTTTGTACATGAGAGTGAGCTAGAGAGGCCCGTGGCTGGTCATGAGGGCTTTTCTCATGGATTAAGTAATGACTGTGATTAACCATCACTCGGAGCATCCCCAGCAACGCACTGGAGCTCCTCCGTGGCTGTCTGCGATTTCCTTCAGTGACTCCCACCCCACCCAGGGGGCGTCTATTCAGGAAATTCAAGAAACTTTTTTTTTTTTAATTTAATTTTTTTTAGTTGTCGATGGACCTTTATCTTATTTATTTACATGTGTTGCTTAGGATAGAACCCAGCCCCCCACCCCGTGCTGAACCATCGTCTACCACTGAGCCCCAGCCACAGCCCCTCAGGAAACTCTCTGAATTAGCACAAGCGGAGCAAATTGGGAAATGAATGAGTGCAAAGAAAGACCAGAGGGGGAAGAACAATGCAAAATTTCAGGTTTCTAGGCTGCGGCTCTTTCCTTCAGTCCACAGACGTTGGCTCAACCTTCCCCGTGCTGGGCAGTGGGGCAGTACCGAGAGCTGGCTCCATCTGCCTCGTAGTCAAGGACGGGCATGTGCCGGGCCATGGGGCCCAGAGAGGATGCACACCCTCTCCCACAGCCAAGGGGCCGAGGGCCTCATGGAGCCATGAGGCTGTGTGGCATCCTCAGGCCCGCTGGCCCTTGACCTTCTCCACCCTGTGCAGGACAACATGCCCATCACTCAGGAGTTCCTGTTTCCTGAGGCAAGTGTGGAGATGCCAGGAAGGGCACAGCAAGCTGCCCGAGGAGAGGTACTCCCTCTCCTTTCCCAGGTGGCCCCAGTGGGAGGACAGGGCCTGCACACAGTAGGTGCTCAGCGTCACATCTTGCACAAGCTTGACTATCACATCCGCCTTGGAGGGAAGGCCTCATTGTCCTTGCCCTCCCCGTCAAGAGGATGGAAGACTTGAGGGCCGGTCAGTCCAAGGACACAGTTGGACGACTGTGCCTCTGCCTGATGTCTGGCCCCCGGGAGCAGCCAGCAGACCACTTCTCACCAGGTGGATGGGATGTCACCTGCACTGGGGGCAATCCAGGAGGCTGAGGAACCTGGGCAGCTCAGCAAGACCCTGTCTCCAAATAAAAGTCCAGAGGGCTGGGCCAGGCCGACCCCCTGGGTCCAGCACCGGGCACTCTGGTGAGAACCGCAGTGTGGAGTGGTCTGCTCCGCCCCTCTCCTGGCATCTCACTGAGCCTCCTCTAGCAAACCTCCCCATCTCCCATGACAGCTCCCTCGTCGGCAAGCTCAATACTGACATTTCCTTCAGGTCTGACAGACACAGTGGAGCCCAGTGAAGGGGCACGTCCCCAGCGCAGGTGGTCAATGTCACCATAGCTAAACGCTTCTTGTTACTACTGCTGTTATTTGCCTTTAAGCCCAGGAGGTAGTCTTCTCAGTCGTGGGGAATGCCCTGGTAAGTGGCCATCCCCAGAGTGTCCAGGGCTCTGCATGAGTTGGGCCCTGGAATGGAGGCATGCTCTCCTCTCCACAGGGCTGAGGCCCCCTGGGGAGCTGCGCTGACATGCTCCTCGTCTTCTCTTGAGCACGTGGATGGTGGGCTCAGCTGAGGTCTGAAGCCAGGATGTCCCGCCTTGGCGCTGGGTCCGGGGCGAGCTCCCTGGGTGGAGTGTGTCTCCATTACAGGGTGATGTGTCTGTTGATAGATTTGCTCCTGCTCCACAGAAGGACGGAGTCTGTTTACCATGGTGTCCTCAGCAGCAAGCACAACCCCTAGCACTTGGTAGGTGGGCTCAGTGATACTCTCCCGAAGGTGTACCCAGGATGGGATGGGAATGGAAGGGGACAGAAGCACAACAGTTCTGAGGCTTGTTACTCACTGTCTTGAACCTTCTGTTACTGTAACACAATACCCGACGCTGGGTGATGTGTAAAGAAAACAGGCTCTTTTGGCTTATGATTCTGGCAGCTGGAGGACCCAAACAACATAGCACTGACTGGGGGTGAGGGCCCCTGGCTGCATCATGACATGGCAGGAAGCAGAAGGGGAGAGAGAATGTGCAGAGGACAGTGAGCAGGGAGCCAGCTGGCTTCCGACAGCTCACTCTTAGTCACCATCCCTTTCCTCAGGGCAGGAGCCCACTCCCCAGAGAGCAGCACTCACCCTCTCACAGGCCCCAACACTTCCTCAGGGCCAGCTCAGTGAGAGCTCCCTAAGCATTTCCTCTATAGGACTGTGGGGTGCGGTCCTGCGTGAATCTGTGGAGGGGCAGAGGGCCTGTGGTCATGCACGGGCAAGCACCTGCAGCTTCAGGCTCCCCCTGATGAGCCGGGAAGGAGGAAGACAGGCAGGCATAGTGTGCGGGGTTTGAGTTTATGCTTTAGGCTGTCTGAGGTGTGGATCCCTGCAGGGGACGTGCCCTTGTAGTCGAGGTATTGGTGGGATTTGTTTGGAACTGAGACAAGTCCTCGTGCTGTGGGCAGGTTGGTGGGGGGCATGTTCAGGTCAAAGTGTAGCTGCTTAGCATGTGTGGAAACAAGTGGAAAACGTGTTTTATTTTTGTTAGAAAACAGTGGGTGCTCACCCTCGCAGCCCTAGACAAGACTGGCCTGAGAGGAGAGCTGGTAGCCAGTCTGTGTTTTCCTATTTCAGGCGCATGTTGTTGTAAACAGTTGGTTCACATTGTGCGTATTGCCGTAAAATCTGCCCTCATGAGAAGGCAGTGGGCAGGGGCATTCTCCACCGTGCTGCCTTGTTTCCTGACCTAGTTTAGCGGCTGCTGGCCCCTGGGGGCCCAGGTTTGCTGGCTGACCTCCTTAGGTCGGGGTTCACCACTCTGGCCCTCAGGTGGCTGTGTGATTGGGCCCTCAGAGCAAGGCCACTAGGAATCCTGTGATGTCTCTGTAGTACTCTATGCACAGCCATGCGGTTCACATAGGCTAGGTTCTGAGAGGTGGAGCATAGAATCCAGTCCTGCTGCGTTCCAATCCCACACTCTGCTCTCACCAGGGACTCGGCTTACAGGGACCTGTGACTGTTGGTCGGTGGGCAGTGGCATTTGTTGCTGCTTGGGTTTGCATTTAGACCATCGTTGGTGACAGCTGCGTCTTTGACCCTGTGTAATTCCCTCTCTGTGATGCCTGGTGGGTCTTGTGTCTCTCTCTCCATCGATAGAGCTTTCTGAAGGAGCCGGATCTCGCATTCCGCACCCTCCTGGCTCTGCCTTCCCCACGGCCACTGCCTTGGAGTCTGGTTGACATGTCCCTCAGACGGGATCCTTGCACTTTGGACAGGGTTCTGCTCTAAGTTGTTCCTGCATCGAGGTAGAAATTGAGTGCTGTAAGGCTGAGGAGCCAACTTTGAGGCCGATGCGTGGGGGGGCTTGGAGGAGGGTGCTGGCTCCCGCGAGAGCCGGGGTGTCCCCAGGGTTCTAAGGGGCTTTGAGGAGCCTTTCGGCAAACTGCTCTGCAGAGCCCGGCCCCAAGCCTCTCTCGTCACCCCAAACTGTTTCGGGTCTCTTCTGCCTGGCGTTTGCTGTTTTCGGTGCAAGTCAGTGAGGCCCAGTGGAACAGAATGGGCACCTTGCTCGTGACCTTAACAGGTCTAGAAGTCACAGTAAACAAAAGTAAAAGGCAGGTGAAACCGACTTTCCAATATGTCCAACTGTACGTGGGAATGTGTGCTGGGCGTGAGGCCTCCCTAGTGAGTTACCGCACACTGTTTTCACACGCAGTCTTTAAAATCGGATGTGCATTTTACACTCCCACTACAGCTTAGTTTGGGCTAATCATGTGCCAGGTGCTTGGTAGCCACATGTGGCTGGGGGGTTGCTGTCTGGCAGAGAGCAGGTCCGATGGGTGGAATCCGCCTGGAAAAAAAGCTAGAGCCTCGACGGCGTGATTAACAGAAACGCACAGGGGGCTCCCTCAGGGGTCAGAGCAGCTGGGCTGCTCTGTGAAGCTTCTTGCTCTTAAAAAACCTGTGGTCCTGGGGACATCCACTTCTGTACCCCTGTGCCAATATGTGTGTGTTCCTTTAGGGCCTGCAGCAAGGACACCCAAGCCCCACCTGGAGGAGAGCCGTGGCCACGGGAGCCCACAGCCCAGGACGGCCTGCGTGTGACTGCCGCGCGGCGGGACTGGCTGCTTGGGGAGCGGCAGCAGCTGCAGGTGAGCCAGTGAAGAGCCCTAGACAGGCCAGGTGTTTCCTTGTCCACGGAAGTCCACTGCGCAAGGGGGTCTCAGCTTTGCTTGATTGGAAAGGAAAGGGGTGGGAGTGACTGGAGGGCTTGTGGGGAGGCAGGTGCGAGGAGACGTGAGATCCAGCTCTCATGCTTCATTATGGTCACCAGTCAGGGGTCTGCACAGTCGCTGAGAATGTCCAAGTCGACAGAAAAACAATGTTAGCCCAGGGGCTTCGTGCTGGAGGCACGGTGATGCCAGAGCACAGTGTGGGCAGCGCTCAGGGAACGGCGGAGGCCCACACTCCACAGCCTTCCTGAGTGCCCACCACGTGCAGGAGACCCTCTGTGCTCGGGACCACTGGGGGCTAGCACTGTGCCAAGAACCTAATTGGGTGACTGGTGTGATTGGGTGCAGCCCAGGGTGGTGGGTTGAGGAGTGAGGCTGGAGCAGAAACTTTGGGGAGGGGCTGAGCAGCTGGAGCAGGGGTGCTGGGCTGAGGGCAAGGGCCTCTTCAGGGCCTGGGCTTTCCGCTGACTGCGGTGGGGACCCCTGGGGTGTTTAGGCAGTGAAACGACCAGGTCTGACCACACATTAAAGAATCATGGTGGCTTCCATCTTGGGATTGGGATAGAGGTCTCCTGTGGAAAATAGCATGCAGTTTCCTCCAGATAAAAAAAATAGAACCTCTGCATGACCCAGCAGTCTGACTCTGGGCATGTTTCTCAAAAACTGACAGCACGGACTGGAAGAAGTTTCTGGACCCCACGTTCATGGGGACATTGTTCACAATGGGCCAAAGTGACAGCAACCCTCGGGTTCTGCAAGAAGTGAATGGATGAACAAAATGTGGTGTGGACATTTGAGGGAGTATTATGCAGGCTTTAAAAGGGAAGGAAGTCCTGACACCTGCTACAATGTGGATGAGCATGGGGGAGTGAGATCATCAGTCGCATCAGAACAAAGACTGCGTGATCCTACTTCATTGAGGTTCTTAGAGGAGCCGGGTGCATAGACAGCAAGTGCTGGGTGCTTGGTGCCAGGGGCGGGGGAGTTGGTGTTTATGGGGCACAGAGTTCCAGTTAGAGGAGATGTAGGGTTCTGGGATGGGTGGTGGAGGAGACGGGGGACACTGGGTGTGTACCTCACCACCGAGCTGTGTACTTAGAGCTGGCTGAGGTGCCAGATCCTGTGTTGTATTTTACCACAGTTAAAAAAAAAAAGAGAGAGAGAGAGAGAGAGACAAGAAGGTGAGGAATGTGGCTGGTGTCGAGAGGAGCCAGAGGATGGTCGAGGGGCCCTGTGGACTGTGCGGAGACTTGGGGTGCTGTTTCCCTTGACATTTCTCTCATTGCTCCTGGGCAGGAGGTGGTTCAGGAGGCAGAAGCACTAGAGAGCCTGTGGCCCGGGGTAGGAAAGAACATGCACCAGGGATGGAGACTCTGGGGTGAGGCTGTGTCCTCCTCGGCCGGGAGTAGTGCCTGGAACATGGGGCTCGCACCCTGAGACTCTGATTTAATTCAGGAGCCCGAGGCGGTGCCGTGGTTTCTGGCCGTGACACGGTGCCCACACTGGTGCTCCGTCACCTGCTGCTGTTTTATTCATTGACCGCGAGCTCAGGTGACAGTTATGGGCCGTGTGGACCTGGGTTTGCTTCCTGGGTTTGCTTCAGGGGCCAGGCACCCCCCTCTGCAGCATCTCGGTGCCTCTCAACCTGCAGACCCAAGAGCCAGGTTTACATTTTCCTCTGTAAGCTCTTGTGTCTGGGGACAGAGCGGCCTTCCCTGTCCTGGCCTGTGGCTCAGGTCTCTGTGGGAAGCCTGCTGCCGTGTCCTTGCTGTCTGTCCATCTGGTGTGAAGTCAGCCCGTTGTTATGTGCTGCCCTTCCAGTCCGATCCGGGGCCTGCCCCCCTCGTTATTCGGTGCTCTGTCAACCCTCCAGAAATGGAAGGCCGCTGCGATTCTCCGAGGTCAGCCAGCTCTGAGCCTGCAGGCTCCGAGGGCCGACCGTGGCTCCGGTGCCTGCGCCTGCCCTCACCTACACCTGTCACCGTCAGCGTCCCTTTGCATGGGGTGGGGTCAGTTCACCAACTCTGCCCTCCGGGTTCTCTGCAGAAAGAAATGGAAGCTCTTCAAACGAGGCTGTCTGTGCTGGAGGCCGAGGACCAGCGGCTGGGGCGGGAGCTGGAGGAGCAGGAGCAGCTGCTCCGGGGCCAGGGCTGTGGTGTGACGGAGCCCATGGCCCGGCTGCCCCTGGGCCAGCTGCAGGCACTCGGCAAGGCCCTGCAGGACATGCTGGCCGCAGCTGGTCAGCTGCACTTCCAGGCGGAGCCACTGGAAGACATAACAAGGTATCTTTCTTGGGGACTGTGGGCCGTGCCCCGTGGGGCTGGGCGAGGGAGGAGCTTGCTGGCCGCCCTGGGCTGCAGCTGTCCCCTAAGTTCTCCGTATGCTTTGACGGAAGCACTATCAGAGTCTGGGTGGGAAGGTTCTTCACATGTGGGGCCGTCCTGAGCTCCGCCTGGCAGCTTATCCCACGGGCAGCTTCCAGACATCCCCAGAGCAGCTTCTCGCTCTGAGGACTGCTGGGCACGGCTGGCTAGAGATTCTGATGCCAGCTTTGCTGAGGACCGACATCAGGAGAAGGTGGCTGCTCACCAAGGGACAGGCACCACAGAGAGGGCAACCCAGTCTAGGTACTTCCACTGGGAAGAGGGGACGTGCTGGCAGCCGGGATCTGGGGAGCCTGTCCATACCACACAGTGTATCGAGCTTTGCTCTCTGAATGGCTCCATCTCCGTGCCCATTCCATGGCCGAGGGAAAGTGCGAGCAGGTTAGTAATTTCCCTGAGGTCTCGATAAGTAGAGGGAAACTGCTGCCTGGCGTCTGTCCTTGTCCTGCAGCTCGCCTGTCTGTCTACCATGGATGGCGTCCTGTGCTCTGCACTGTGGAGGGTTCCCAGGACACACGGCCCCTGGTGCTCAGGAGCTCATCATCTTAGTTTGGACAGACAGAAGACACGCTGAGATACGAGGGACAGGGAAACGGGTGGTGCCCAGGGCTTGAGGTGGGTAGTGATGTGGCAGCCCTGTGGGCACCGTGCAGGCAGATACAGTGGGGCTCCACACCGCGCCGAGGCAGGACTTCTGACCTCTGCACCTTCCCTGTCCCTCTCCCTCTCTCTCCCTCTCCCTCCCTCTCCCCCACCCACTGATTGGGGGAGGATGACGACAGTGACCCCTGGCTCAGGAGAATGAGTAACAGGTGGAGCCTCTCAGCTCTCTCCTGCTTCCAGCTGCTGTTTTCTGTACAGGAAGGTCAGTCTCCTGAAGCTTCAGCCTGGCCCTCGGCCCATGGCTCCATGTTCAGCAAGTGATGGCTCTGTCACCTGGGGGTCACTCCTCCCAAAGACTCCAGCAGCAAGCCTAGGATCTGCCCAGGACATTCCATTCCCCTCCCAGCCCTGGTAGTTCCCTGTGCAAATCCACGGCCTTGCTCCTTCCTCGGGGAGGGGCGTAGGCTCAGGCTGAGGCTGGATCTGGCCCATTGAAACCCGTCCTCCTGTCTGTCTGCACCTCCATGACCCTCTTGGCAGCACCCTGGAAACACGCAGGCTGCTCTGGCCTTACCAGTGGATGTTCCTGGCAGTGCACTCCTCAGAGACCCTCCTGTGAACCTCTGCATTGCCTGTGAGTCCGACTCAGGGCAAGAGCCCATTCAAGGGCTTTCCTTGCTAATGCTGGGTATGGTCTGAAACCTGGAAATGGAGAGTGTGGTCGGAGGTGGATCTGGGCCGGAGACCTGGACTGTACACTTTATAGGTAGTACACCGGCTTATGTCCTCCAGCCTGATGTGACACCAGGTGAGATCCAGGGAGGGCTCAGATGTGTGACCATGGCGTGGACAAATTCTTTGAAGTCTGTGACTTCTACTATATGATGCTATTAGGGAAATTGGACATGAAGATGACCTTGAGCATGGTGAGCAGTGTCCAGAGTAATCTGGGGACAACCCAAAACTGTGGGATATGAGGATGGCCTTGACCATGGTCTAGTTCTGTCCCACAGGAGAACCCAGAGCCTCTGGATGTGAGGATGGCCTTGGACATGGTCTAGTTCTGTCCTACAGGAGGACCCAGAGCCCCTGGATGTGAGGATGACCTTGGACATGGTCTGTGCTGTCCACTGTCCCACAGGAGGACCTAGAACTCCTGGATGTGAGGATGGCCTTGGAGATGGACTAGTGCTGTCTACTGTCCCACAGGAGGACCTAGAACCCCTGAATGTGAGGATGGCCTTGGAGATTGACTAGTGCTGTACACTGTCCTAGAGGAGGACCCAGAGCCCCTGGATGTGAGGATGGCCTTGGAGATGGACTAGTGCTGTCTACTGTCTTACAGGAGGACACAGAACCCATGGATGTGAGGATGGCCTTGGACATGGACCAGTGCTGTCCACTGTCCCACAGGAGGATCCAGAACCCTAGCCCTGGCTCTTCAGCTGGCTGGCCCTGGCAGGTTGCTTGAGTCTCTCTGAGTTTTTTTTTTGCCAGGAAGTGTGATAATCATGGCGCCTGCATCTCAGAGCTATAGGAAGTCCAGATCCACTCGTCTGTGTGGAGGACGGGGAGTGGTGCCCACACACAGCAGCCCCCGGGAATACTAGCCTCTGCTGCTCCCAGGCAGCTGCTCTAAGGGAGGACACTCACTACCATAGAGTGACCCAGATGCTAGTGGAAACATGTCCAGTGTCTGAGTGGACCGCAGGTGTTTCTGGGGCACGGCATGACTGGATCTGAGAGCAGAGTTCACCGTCGTCACAAACAACCTGGAGTGCTCTTGAAACACAGGGACTCCATTTGATGATTGAAGCCCACGGGGCATTAAACTCAGTTTCCTATTCAAAACCTGCTTCTGGAGCTGTGTTTCAGGGACCTTAGTATGATGGCAGCAGTGCCCAGTGGGCATAGTGTCCCTGCGCTGGGGACAGAGCCCTGGAACCCACATGATGTGTCAGTTCTGTGCAGCACTTTGAGAGGCACCACTCTAAAAATAGCTCGAAAACCCCAGCCTGGTGATGATGATTCATATTCTTCACCCCCCACTGCTCTCATTCCGTGTGTACCCCAGGGATGCAACTATGTTAATATTAGTCTGAGCAAAACATAATTAGGAAGGTAAATCTACTGAAAAAGTAATATAGCATAAATTAAATGTAAATCAAATCAAATATAAAACAATGCATCCAATTATCTGCCTCACTGCCTCTTGGTCCATCATGGATGTTTGACAGGAGATCAGTGTTCTTTCCAGAGCAGGGCCAGATCTGTCCAGGCCTGTGAACCACATCAACCTCTGGAAAGGTGGAGCTTGGCTGGTTTTCAGTTTGGTATGTTAGACGTCAGCCCAAGGCGCTGGCACTTGGGCCAGCTAAGTTTCAGTATCCAAAAGCAGCCTCCTTTCTACTCAGCTGTCAATGTATGAGCTCGACTTTGGGTGTGTCTAGGAGCCTGTGCTCACACTGTGCTGTTGGATGCAGGTGCAGGTCCAGGTTGTGGGAACTCTTTATTAACTGCCTGTGAGTTGAATGGACTCCCTGGGCCTGGAGAGGGACAGAACTACCTGGAGCTGGTGCTGCTGCTGCTGGGGTCAGAGGCAGAACAGTCTAGGCCCTGGCTGAAGAGCTCTGCCCTTCTGTCCCTGGAGCCTCTGTGGCTGGACCTGCCTGCTCTGTGTGCTAGCGGGACCCTCAGACTTACCTTCTCTCAGAAATCCGGGCTGCAGCCAGGCAGCGCAGGGTGTTCTCCAGGCAGGAGCCGACTTGTTTCTCACTGTGCCTACTGTCACCCTCACTGTGACCCGAATCAGAGGTCTCTGGTGCCACGTGCTCTGCCTCTTGTCACCCTCACCACCTCATGTGGGTTGACTTCAGCTGGGTGGAAGACCCTCCACAGGTGAGAGCAGGCCTCAGGTTGGTGACGGCTGTGCCTGCTCCGGCTCTGGGGACTGGCACCTGAAATGAGTCTGCGTGTGCTCGCAACAGGTGGAGAAGGGCAGCAAGCCCGGCAAACCAGCCGCTCGGCTCCTATCCAGACCTCGCCACTCCTGCTTGGTGAGGTGCTCCAAGTGTCCCTCCTGGGTACCTGTATCCTGGCCGTTGCCTTCGGCAGACCCCCATTTATCAAGGGCCATCCTCTTTCTGTACCACGACGTTGTCTTGCACTCTTAGCAGTTGCAGGTGGTGGACAGCAGGGGCCACGGGTTTGTGCTGAGCACTGGAAGATGAGTGGGTTCCTGAGTGCATCAAGGAGAAAGGCTCCTCAACGCTCTTCACCTCGCCATGCCCTGTGGTCTGACTCTCCCCTTCCTTTCCGACCTCCACTCTGCAGGCTCAGACTCCTCGGCTGGCCTAGCTGGAGGGAACGCCTGGTTTTCACACTGATTTTATTCTTCAAAGTCTTTTTTCATCACTTTTCCCAATTAATTTTCCCCAAACCAAAAATATCCCTTCCCTGTTGCTCTCACGACCCAAACCAAAATGATACCAGAATGATCCTGGTGCCTGGGGAAGCTCTAGCGCCTCAGCCGACTGCTGAAGGCCAACCAGAGCTTGGCGATCCTTCAGGGGTCACCTCCCGCATAGCAGTCACACAGCCTGGACGGCATGCCAGCTGCCTATTTGTCCCCACTGAGATTAGATGGCGTCGCCATCCCCTGTTCATTCTGGTCCCCTCACCCCACCCCCCGCACCTTCCTTCCTGTTGGCCTGTGTCTGGTGCAGCTAGTCATGGGGCCACTTGGAAAGCTCCGCCTGCTCCCACACTGTGGCCCTCCCTGCTGCTCTGAGGCCGGGCTCATTTCCTACCTCTCCTGGTGGCTTCCAATGCTCCCTGGTTTCTGAACTGCCCCCAGGTTCTGCCTTGTGGCAGCTTTGGTTTAGCGGGTCCCTCCTATGTCACCTTGTGGTCCTCCTCATCTTACTCTGTGCTGTGGTTGGTGGTCTGCATGTGCCTTCTCCACCGGGAAGCAGCCTTGAGGACAAGATCCGGGTCTTTGGTGTCCATTTACTCGTGCCGTGTACTTTGAGCCTTCTAATCCACCCCAGGACTGCCCTGGGCCCTGGGGAAACTGGAGGCAGGCAGCACACCGATACGTGGACTCGTGGACTCACTGAGGTGCACTCTGTGGGGGTGAGGAGTGCACGGGAGAGAGAGGAGGGTGGAGCCAGGAGCTGGCACGGAGTCAGACATGCTTTCCTTGCGCATCTCCAACAGGCCGCCCTGATGCAGGGACCCGCGCACGTGCGCTGAGCCCATGGCACCCACGTGAAGATTGATTCCCACAAGTGGGAGCTGGTCACAGGGAGGAAGTCTGAGTGCTTTGCTGCTGGGAGCCCATGGGTCTCGGTCCTGTGCCATCAGACATGCCCTGGGGATGTTGGCGGGTGTAGTACTGGCCAAGTAAAGCGTCAGTAGGAGGTGAGCTCTGCTCCCAAGCGTCACGTCAGCACCATGCCCCAGGGGGTCAGTCTGGCATCTTCTTGCCGCTGCTCCTCTCTGGCCCCAGGTGGTGAGCACTCACTCTTTTCAGTGTTCCTGATGTGGGGGTGTCCATCTGTGGTTCCAGGAAGACCAATGTCCTGTTTTTGATTCTTCCAGCCTCCAGGAGAGGATAAAATCCCTCAACCTGTCACTTAAAGAAGTCACCACTGAGGTAAGCACCGCAGAGGTTTTCTCTGACTTTCTATCTACGTCACAGACCATGTAGGCTCAGGAAGAGAGGAGGGGAGCCCAGAGAGCCAGGGAGGGCTGCCATCCTGGTGGGTCCTGATCTGTGGCCATCCACAGGGCCCTGGCTTTTGGAAAGGCTCTCGGCTCAGGGACGGGGACAGGGGCTCCTGTGCACATCAAGTGCCTCTGCTTAACAGGTTCTCTGCCAGATGCTGTGGCAGAGAGCCTGGGAACAACCCCTCCTCCCTGGCCTCAGGTCTGGGAGCCTGGGAGGTCCTAAGGTGTTCGGGTCATGAAAGAGCAGTGCTCATCCAGAGAAGGAGAGTCTCGGGCCCTGGAGGAGGAGGAGTGCTAAGGGCCTGGTGGTCACCGCAGCTAATCCACGTTGGGATGTGTTGTTGGCAAGCATGTAACAGTGACTATGGCTCTTTTCTCAGGTTTTGGGTCTCACTCATTTCTAAAAACAGCACTAGTGATGTTCTAATGGACACTCGGCAGTATGTTTGAAGGGTGGTACTTGCATAGAAGGAGAGCTTCTCTGAGGAGCCGTGGTGTCCGTAAGAGGGCAACAGGCCCAGGGACCGAGGGACGCTTGAAACCTGCTTGGTGTTCCTGAGCACCTCCTGGGGGTGCTCCTTCAGAGAGAGGAGCAGGAGGCAGCCCCACGATTATCCCCGGCTGCTGCTGAACCTTGGATTCGCTCAGGACCTGGGTTGCTTTGTCTGCATGCCATCCTGGTCTGTCTGTGCTGCTTAACCAAGCACCACAGCTCGGTGGCCCTGGACAACAGGAATTCTCTTCTCAAAGCACTGGAGGCCGGAAGTCTGAGGCCCAGGTACCAACACAGTCAGGCTCTGGGGAGGGCCCGTGGTCACAGATGGCCGGCTTCTCCCAGTGTGCACCTGGTGGAGAGAGGGCAGGAGTGCCGTCTGGGGTCCCTTTCATAGGGCACTGATCCCTTCCATGAGGCCTCACTCTTGTGCCACCTCCCACAGCCTCAGCTCTTGGTGCCAGCTCACAGGGGTTAGGGTTTCAATGTGTGCATCTGGGGACACAGGCACTGCAGCTGTCACACACCCATCTCTGGTATATTTATAACAACTTGAATACTTTTCCATAAAATTAAGGAAATCATGCCTCAGAGTTTAAAATGCAAACATAAAAATCTCCATTTAATAATGAGTTCCTCAGGGTCTAATTTTATTTGTAAGAAGGTGGTGCAGATTTTCTGGGTTTGTGTGCACGCATGTGTGTGGGGGCCTGTGTTTGTACACATCCATGGTGTGTGTGTTGGAGAGCACATGTGAGCCCACAGTGAATACAGCCAACCTCTCTGGCCATGCAGAACACTGTCTTTCCACTCTAGACCAGGTTGGCTGGTGGCATGAGGTACAAGTCTCAGCTTGCCAGGCACACACAGCCCTGGTGTTCTTAGGGAGAGAATTTCTTGCCCACGCCATGTTCCTTCAACTCTCAGGGGTTACCCAAACCAAAGGTAATTAAGGGATAAACAAGATGAAAGAAATAGTTGGAAATAAGTGGAATACCTGGAGATTGGTGGATATTAGATTACATCCAGCAGAGCCCGAAGGAATGTACATTGCAACCTTATAAGAAAGTGTAGAAAGGGTGTTTCATGTTGATAGTGACAGCTTGAAGGATGGCTTTGCTCAACAAAGGAGAAATTGACCCGATTATGATTAACAGGTACCATTAACTAAAACCGGAACTGTTAGACACAGATTGAATGAGATCTAGAATTCTGGCTCATGTCGTAGAATTAACAGAAATGCTTTTGGATTTCCATTGACAGTTTTAGATGGATGGGATGGGATGGGCCAGTCACCGGTCACGGAGCCAACCCAAACTTAGAGCTGGAGAAGGTGTTGGGGACATCTTCCTTTCAGCTCCTGGTTCTGACACCCTGACAAACCCTGAGTCATTGAGAGGGTCTGGAGATGGATCGCTGTGACGTGTGGATGCAGGGCACTGCTGGCGGGGGCTCTGGTGTGCAGGCTGCCAACCATGTCTTCATCCAGCAAGTGTGTTCAGCTGCCCAGCAGGCCGGGGCCCCTGAGTCCATGCAGTCCATGGATGGCTGTAGGAACCTGGGCGAGGTCTTGTAGGTCCTAAAACCCACCTCTCTTCCATCTGACATGGGCAAAGCACTTGAGCTGATGGTACCCATGTGTTCTCAATTGCTCTGTGGAAATTAAATTTATCCTTAGGGCTCTGTGAACCTGGGTAGGCTGATTTTATCTTTGAATGGAGGCTCAGATTTTTTGGCAAGAAAAGAGTAATGGTTCAGGTGACCCCCTCCATGGCCCATCCAGACAGCTCCGCAGTTCTCTTCATTCTTACTAACACTATGCTGTGTGCTTGTGTCGAAGAGGAAACACTTCTAAGTAGCTCATTAATCCGCATATAGATAACGGATGAATATGAGATTTTAGCCTTAGACAAAGGGAAAAAATTGTGATATTTTAGCCTCAAATCATTACTAAAAGATAACCCAGAGGCATTTGAAAAAAGAGATTGAGGTTTAAGACTTTTTTTTTTTTTTTTGAGATGAAAAGAAAACTGTAGGAAGTGTTTGGAGGGGGAAGATAAATGATAAAAGCAGCAGACCTCCTGAGAGCGGCTGGTCTATTTTTCAAATCTGACTTGCCAGCAAGGATCTGCCCTGGAGTTTCCCTAGAGACCGTCTACTAGTAATTTAATTTAGCTTGCCGCTCTGACCTTGATCTCAAAGGCCATACCTTAATCTATTGCCTACTACGTGCCAGGGACCAAAGCCCAGAGTGCTTGAGCCCTGGAGGAGAGAGACAGGGTAAAATAAGGAATGGAAATGAAGGGTGTGTCCCCTGGAGAAGAGGCTAAGGCACAAGGGGGCGAAGGGGGCAGGAGGGTCTGCTATTTTGGGCTTGTAATCAGTGAGGCCTCTCTTCCCAGGAAGTGGGCAGATGGCCCTGAGGGGTGCTGGTGTGCTAGCCACTGGGCAGGCATGTTTCAGAGGGAGGGAGCCCCGGGAGGGCAGAGGCGGCTCCTTCCCATTGCGCGTGGGCAAGTTGGTCCACTTGAGTGCGGTGAAGGGTCTGGGGTCTGCTTGGCATGTGCCATGTTGGCCACCCCTCCTTCCCCCTCTTCTCTGTTTCCCTCTGCCTGTGATGTCTTGCTGGGAGGTCTCCTGCCGTCGCTCTTAACTATCTCCACAAGCCCAGCTGCTAGGAGTGAGTGGGCTCTGCCACCGTCTCTGGTCTTCGAGCATGCACCATTCTGCTGTCTCTCCCCTTCCAGGTGTGCACAAGCGGGAGCCTCTGCAGCAGGCTGAGGAGGAGAGTCAGCCACCTGGAAACCCGACTGCCGGCCCTGCATGAAGCCAAAGCGCTTGCCATATCAGGTGACTGCCCGCTGCTCAGGACAGCGCCCCCTTGTGTTTGGGTGCTTTGCCTTCAGTTTAATATTCTGCTGTTAGGGTCCTTACACTAGGCACCCGGAAGATGTTCTGGGGGGGGGGGGCAGTAAGGTTTCCTCATGGGGGGATGGGATGAACCTGGAAAGTACCTTTTGCATGCCTGTCTGTGCAGTGACCACGTGGTCTTGGTTCCCGCTCCTCCAACAGACTGGGGGGTGGAGGTACTGCTCTGTACAGCCCTGTGAGGTGAGACCTCCTCCCGGGCTGCCGGAGGGCCCAGGCCTCTCTCTCTCTCTCTTTTTTTTAAATTTTTATTATTGGTTGTTCAAAACATTACAAAGCTCTTGACATATCGTATTTCAAACATTTGATTCAAGTGGGTTATGAACTCCCATTTCCAGGCCTCTCTTAAGGGAAGGGCAACACTAGACCAGCAGACGGGCCTGTGTGAGGTCCAGTAGTGGAGCCAGAGACTTCTCAGGAGATGGTCGTTTCTTCTCCCTCTGGCAGATACTAAGGGGTGTATTTAAATCATAGCTTGAAAACACACGTTTCTGAAAACAGTGCCTTATTCTGTCATTTGAATAGAGCTTTCAAACATTCCGATTTGTCATTTTATGTGATTTCTGTGGCAACTGAATTATTAAGTGGGAGAGAGGCTATTACCAACAGCCTGGTGGGGAGATCAAGGTGTGGGGTGTGGCCTTTGGTTACATTCACTGGGGCAGCTGAGTGCTGGCAGATCAGGGGCTAGAGTCCAGATGCCTCAGGATGTGATCCATGGATGTGTGACCCAGGGAGTGTGGCGGCCTGGATTTCTCTGAATTTATAGGTTGAAAGGGTCCACAGCCCAGAGCTTCAGAGAAATCATAAACATTTAGTAGAGGTGTAATAATTGCATGTGTGGGTTTTAGATGGTGTTCTAAGAAGGAAGCAGTGATTGGCAGCTTCTGCTCCTTGGATCATTAAGCAGCTAATGTTGGCGGCTAACGAGCAGCTTGGTCCCTGGTGCATCCACATGAGTAATTTACAACCACGAAACATGGCTGTGGGTGTGAGGCTTGGCTCAGCCTCTCATGCCATTTACTTGGAATTATGGCCCCATTTGCTGTGATTGAACACAGCCTCACTTCCGAGTCAGGGCCTTGTTCTGTCTTAGTCAATGTGTCTCTGCAGGAGCACAGGTGGATGGCTTCCCTGCAGACCTAGGAGAGGAGCCCTCACTCCAGCCTGGAAGCTCTTTTCAGAATCTGGGGAAGAGTCTCAGATGGCATGTTGCAGGCGGCTCTGGGTTTTCTGTTTCAGCTCCTGGGCCAGCTGAGAAAATGGGTGAGGCCCAACAGACTGACTGACCTCTGCTTCCCATTTCCCTTTGGGGCTCCTGGCAGGACGGGCCTCTCTGCGGCTGTCCTGGGGCTGTACTGGTGGCCGGGAGCTCAGCCCTCTTCACCTTCTGCACCATTCCATTTCTGTTTTTTCCTGCTTCAGAACCTTTGGGGTGGCAGGTTCTCTGTCCACTGGACCATGGCCACTGGGACATACCTCTGCCAAGAAGCCCTCCTCTAGCTGGGCTTTCCAGGGGAGTGCTGAGGGACAGTGCCCCCGAGATTCTTAGAGGCCCTTCCTTAGTGTGCTGGGCCTTTGGACTGTCTGGAAGTTTCTGTGATTTGCTGTCTCAGATGCGGAGACCCATCCTGGGTCTGATCCAGGGCCTGAGGCCCTTCCTTAATTTGAGAATCATTCACTATCTGCAGAGGCTGAGAGTAGAAATAGTTCTATCTTCAAACCTGGCGAGTCCTGGATCATTTTGGATCTAACATTTCTTTATCATCTCTCCCTGGCATTTTGTCACAGGCAGTGACAGGAAGCTGGTGGACACTTCTGTAACCTGCCTTGAAACGTCCTTGGCAGTGTGATTAAATTTATCAGGAGCCCTTTCCTACATCACCGCACAGGATAACTGGGGGACTTTTTGCCACCAGGATACGAGTCCCCTTCCCTCTGGCTCTGCATGATACTTTCCTTTTAGTTTCCTCGAGAGGCAACCTCGCAACAAATTTAGCTTAAAGATAATTGGATTTTATTTGCACTTCTGGAATCAGACCACACTTCATTGTATAAAAGCGAGCAAACTCTGCAGTGAACCAGGCGGAGGTTTGGTCTCATGGGGAGAAGGGCTGAGAAAGCAGAAGTGGACAGCCCAAAGGGGTGGTCCTTGGAGCAATCTCTCCTGACAAGTTCCACCGAGTGACTGTCCCACCGTGCCGGCTAGGACTGAGTCGTCTGGGGATTTGGCCGTTCCCTCTCCCGACTTCTCGGATGGTCAGGGTAGTTGCGGTGTGATGTGGTGGCCTTCAGTGCAAGCCACCCCATTTTGGCTGATCTCTTGGGCCTCGTGCAGGAGCTCTGTCCAAACCAAGGGCCTCCTGTGTCACTGGGCCCTGTTACGCTCCCAAGTATTGCCTGGCACCAAGGCCAGTGTCTCGAGCTTGGGGTTTTGTTATGGTGGCACCTGTAGCCAGATGCCCAGTGTCTTCTGTATCTGTTGCCACATAACGCACCACCCCAGGGTCTAGGGACTTAACATGTCACAGTCATTTATGTAACCTGTGTATTGGTGACTTGGGCTGGGCTTGCCCTGGGGAAGCTGAGGCCCTGACCTGGGGCTGGTGACACCACTTCCAAGGCTGTGCAGGCACGTGGGTTGGTGGGCTGCGCGCTACCGGTCCCACCATGGCCGGCTTGGCTTCCTTACACCCTGGCTGCTGGTGCCAGGAGGGAGCATCCCAAGGCACAGGCAGCAGGCATTGCTTATTTCTTAAAGCTTGGTCTAAAAAGCTGCCCTGCTTCTCTTTCAAGGTGTGATAAATTACTCCTAAACTGCACAGCACAAAACGAGGAGCTATGTCTCTTCACAGCCCTTAGAGCAGCTCAGCTGGCTCAGGGCGTGTGAGGGAGCCATGGAGAACTGGTCTGGGTGCAGCCTTTCTGAGGCATGGCTGTTCTGAGAACTGCTTCCAAGGTCACCTGTGGCTGCTGATGGGGCCTCAGTGCCTTGCCCTTGGCTGGTCCCCTCAAGCACGGCAGTGGATCTCCACACAGCAACCCATCAGAGAGGAATCAAAAAAGACAGAAGCCAAAGGGCTCTTTGAGGACTTAGTCCCCCCCCCCCCCCGTCAAACTGTCACTTCTGCTTTAGTGACTTGAAGCAAGCCACCAAGTTCAGCCTGTACTCAGGAGTAGGAAGACAGGCTCCACCTAAGGGAGGAATATTAAGGAATTTGGTGACACATGGAAATCCATCTTGCTGCCACTCCTGTTGTGTTCAGTTCATCAAATAGTCCTGGGCCCCTGAGGGGAGGGGGCAGATGGCCACTCTGCATGGGATGTGGCCACAGAACTCTGGTGCTGTGTTCAAAGTGCCACGGTGCTACTGCACCAGCAGGACTTTGAGAGCCAAAGATGTGGACAGAGAGGTTTTCAGTTGGAGGAAAGAGCCTCAGTGCTTTATTTACCTGAGGATGTCGCTGAGCGCTTACTAAGTGCCAGCCTGGTTCTGGATACTGTAGGAGCAGGCGGGACACCCTCCAGTGTGACGTCCTGTCCTGGGTTTGGCCACCTGGGCAGTGCTTGTTGTGGCTGGGCTGCCCGTGGGAAGCGCAGCTGGGCCACGAAGAGGCGGAGGAGTCTGGATGGACTTGGGCACAGGGTCAGGGCCATGGAGAAAGCTGGTTGAGCTAGGCAGGGCCAGGAGGGACAGGGCTCTGAGCTGCCCTGAAGGGCAAGAGCATCGGGGGTCTTTCAACCCTTGGAGGCCACTGGGCATGTAGTGGAGCACACTGGCCTCTGCAAGCCACTGTGCTCTGGAGTTCATTCCCTATGCGTGGAGCTGCCTGGTGATCATCAGACTTTTCTTGGCCATGGCTCCCATGGCTTCTAAGCATCCTGAGGACCTAGACCTCCGGGGGCCCATGTGCCTTGACTCAGCTGCACCTGGGCCATCTCTTTTCTTTCCATTCTCTACTTCAGCCTCGACTCTCAAGTCATTCCACAAAGAATGGTTTGGTGCGAAGCACCCAGGAGGGGGTTGGTGTTCCGCTGTCCTGGTTGGACAGCACCCTGAGTGCTGTTTACACTGGCAGAGCATGGGAAGCTGCCTGTCCAGAGAGGCTTCCTGGGTCTTGGGCAGTTTGGGCAGTGTAGCAGATAGAAGCCTAGAGTCCTGGGGGAAGAGTCCTGTGCTCAGGTCAGTTTTAGTGCTACCTGCGTGGGCAATTCATTTGACCTCGTTGAGCCTTGTGTCCTCATCTGTAAAACAGGGCTAATAATGCTCATGCCTACCAGGGAGGTTAGGGTAAGGGTTAAGTGAGGCAGTGTACTAGTCCATGAGTCCAGAATGGTTCTGAGGCCCGGCCCGTGGCTGTGGCTGATGTGGCCCTCCACTGAGTCACACTGCTGTCCTTCCTCTGACTTTGCCTGCTGCTGGCACCCGGGGACAGGAAGCACAGGGTATTTGCCAAGACAAACACACACTCGCATTTTGGTGGCTGGTTCCTGGGATGTGTGGCATCTGTGCAGCCTGCACCCGTGGGGCCTGGTTAGGGTTCCTACCCCCTGCCCTGCCCCAGCTGGGCTTCAGCCCTGGCTCTTCTCATCTGCCCCATCCTGTCAGGTGGCCATGTCCACTGATGTCCACGCGTCCAGGTGCTGGATGCCCTCTGCAGCCACCACCCAGATCACAGCCTCCGTGGGTGCTGCAGGCCTCTTACCTCTGTTATCAGCTGGTCCTGGACACCTTGAGGCTGAATCAACAGGCCCCTGCTGTTTTGGCTGAAGATGAAGGCCAGTCTCACGTGGTGAGAAAGCTGTGGGAACACTCCCTGCATGGGTCCCGGGGCCAGGGGGGCAGCCTGTGGTTCCTGCCGGCTTACTGGGACCCCGGCCATGTGGCAGTGAGGAGTGCCCATCTCACTTCTTTCTTCTTT